TATCTGTAAAATAGAAATAAAAGCACACACCATATACAAGTATCATGAAGAGCAAAATAAGGAATGCACATATTTTGAGGGATATTAGCCTAGCACTTAAATTCTCAATGTATGTTAGCTGTATATTATTATTCCCCCCAAGCCAACTAGAAGGAGAAAGAAGATTAGTGGAGATTAGGGAAGTTGAATGCATTTAGAAAGTCTAAAATCAAGGTGTCAGTCAATTTGTTGACCAATAATGACTCACTTATCATAGACAATGCCTTTTAGCTATGTCTTCACAAGACATAAGAGCAAAAGAGGCAACCAAGCTCCCTCAGGCTACTTTTATAAGAGAACCAATCCCACCTGGTCACTTTCTAAAGGTCCTGCCTCTTCACCAACACATTGGGAATTCAGTTTCATCATGAGAATTTTGAAGGGACACAAACATTTGACAAGTGTTAAATAATTTGTAGATATGACTTAACATCACAATTCTTTCTTTATATCCTACTAAGTTCCATCCTTTTATCCTACTAACTTCTCATAAGAAATACCAATTAGTGACATTGTTTTACATGTATTTATTGTTGCTGTCATCATTAAATAAGTGCTCACTGGTGTCTGCAAGGACTGAAGAAAGTTTACCTGGTCTTGTACTCTGGGAATCTCACAAAATGTTGCATGACTGTGCCAGGCACTGTGCTGATTCCTTGACAAAAACTACTCAGGTTATTCCCTACAACATAACTTTGATGTGGCGTATTATTTCCATTCACTAGATGATATCTTGGATAACACAGCCACTATATGGAAAGATTTATATTGTACCTCATGTCCTTATGATACTATAGTCAATGTTGTTGCCTTTAGCATTGGAATCATCTTTAAAAAGAACCTGAGGTAAAAATATTAGAACTGACTCCATAAGTCAACAATACTTTATACATGAATGTTTCATATGGAGGCATATTAGTAGATAAAGTGATATGGAGACATGTGTTTTTCAAATCATATGGGTTCTGTAAATGGGAATATGGTTTGATTTTATGTTAGGAAAACAGAAAAAATGTTGAGTTTATCGGCTGAGCTCTTGGCATCCTAGTAGTCTTGTGAAAATCACACACTGGTTGTTTTGTGATCTATGTCTTCATCAATGACAACTTTACTGCACGGATGTATGGTCTTGTGGAAATCTGTTTAGAAGAGCAATCGTGCCTTACATTTTAAATTATAGTGTTGATGAGGAAGGACAGACACGCACCTCATTACTTCATTTTTATTTGAGTGTAGAAATGAGGTCTCCAGTTATGAGAAGAAAGAAGTGTGTATGTGTGTGTGTAATCTAGGAGAGGACATAGTGTCCTTAAGCAACAGACATATGTTAGTCTGATGGAGACTTGATAGACTCTCATTGGGTACTTGTTAAGGTGGATTCCATTTTATAGAATGATAACTAATAAATTTATTTCAGTATTCTTTAACATCCCTCTCATAAAACTGGAATCAGGGCTACTAATCTAAGAACTCTACTCTTGCTAGTAATTAGCCTCGGTGTGCCGCTAAATACTACCATGCCTCAATATCATGAACCAGTGGGTATTTAATTAAACTAATTCACTTAATCCTCATATTATCTTCCTAAAGAATTCTGTATATTTGAGAAGCAAGGTAGGTGGAATTCAGGCTGGTAGGTGAAGTAAAAGAGAGAAATGAAGGGATTTATTCCAGGTTGTTACAGTTACTAAGTTCAGTCTATCACTGGGATCACAAAGAAGTTTCCTAATTTACTCCAATGGCCTCTTCAACAGCCACAGTACTGTTTTTTATTCCCTATCATATGGTATCTCATCTTTCAGGGTAATGTATGTGAACAATACTGGCATGCATGGCAGAGGAAAGAGAAAAGCATATCACATTATTCTCAAGATTCAATAGCTCTTAGGATGAGTTACTAATGGAATTGTGAAGAAGGAAAGAGACTTTATAGTAGGGCTTATGGTCATTCAAGGGGGTAGCAGATTTTTTCCTATAAGCTTAAGTGACTGTCCCTAAAAGTACTGGCCTACTGGCTAACAATAATAGCATGACACCATATGGAGTTTGGGAATGGGAAGAAAATGAACTACTTTATTCCATGCATTATCCTTTCTCTTGTTTTTGCTATTTTATTGAATGGCAAACACAGAATTTTCCATGGAGCCTAAGGAGGAAGAAGCAATTCCATAATTTAATACATATTTGTTAACTGCTATAATTGTTATTGACACACAAGGGTAGGGAACTGCAAAAAAACACTGCTAATCTCTCAGATTCTTGAAAAGTTGTGACAGAAGAATGCTAAAGTCACCTCCTAAAATTCATGTTTTATATGTGCTGGATTCCACATAAAATGACTTTTTTCTGTATATAAAATATCATACATATGTATATCACTGGTGCGACCTAAACCATATTCAGAATCCTACTGGCTCAGAAGTCTGGTAAATGTAATTCATCGGATTCCAGCTGTAGCAATGGGGGAGATCATAGAAGGGGTTAAAAATGTTTCCAAGTGCCAGACAACAATATGTGGGAAAGTCCTCTAAAGTTTCACTTCTCTGATCTTTTATATTCCTTTAAGCACCAAAATTCTACATGAATCTTTTCTATTGCTGACCCAATGTTGAATAATACTCCCCCAGATATTCTGATTTACTATTTCCTTTTTGTTTTTTGAGATGGGGTCTTGCTGTGATGCCCAGACTGGTCTCAAGGTCATGATCCTCCTGTCTCAGCCTTCCAAGTAGATGGGATTATGGGTATGTGCCATCCTGTCTGACCTGTAAAAATTTCTTATGCAAGTGAACTGTGATTCATATTTTGAGAAATATGTTTTATGGGGAAGGCAATAGAATCACACCCTATTTTTATATTTACCACATTCAGCAGAATACTTCTTGTGCCTGGACTATCCAGTAACTTCTTTAATGAGTAAAAGTTGCACTAAACTAATAACAGGATACTAGTGTAGAGAAATCAATGACTCAGGCAATCTTGGGGAAATTACTGAAGTGAAAAACAAATTACTGAAGCCGAAAATAACCTAAAGATAGGTTATTATGAGCCCAGCACTCCAAGTCTCTGAATTTGTTATTCAGCATTAGCCAATTATTGTGAGTCAGGAATGTACAACCTCTGCTGCCAAGTCTTTGACTGTTTTCAGGTGACTTTTCCCATGAAATACCTCTTTTAAGTATTGATAAGGAAGTAAATAAATAATTGCTCAAATAAAACAGAAATATATATGGCTTAGACCTAGGGATGTAGAGACCTGCAGCTAGGGGGCCGTGCTTTTGGACCTTTATCTTAGGACTTTAGTAGGCTGGAGCATGAGGAGTCAAAAATAAAACAGATATTAAATTTCAAAATGGTCTCAGGCTCTTGAGAAGAGAGGAACAAAGTAAAATTCATTTCAATAAAAATATTCACCAGATATAGGTGTGGTACAGAAGAGGGTGACATTAACTCTAAGCAGGAAGAAAATAGGTTACCTGGAGAAGGTGTTACATTATCTGGGTTTCAACAAATGTATATATAGTTCATTAGACAGGCGCCAAATGTGGGGAAAGGGGCATTTCAGGAAGAGAAAGAACATATACAATAACATTGCAGCATGAAATATCATGGTTGTCACTTGAATCTGTAAGATTTAATATTACTGAAATCATAAAAGAGGGGAAGCTGGGCATTGTGGCACACAGCTTTAAATCCCAGCTCTTGGGAGGCTGAGGCCAGCCTGAGCTATATACCAAGATCATATTTCCCAAAACAACAAAAAAGTGGGGGGACAAATAGGGACAGCAGAAAGTGGTGAAATCAAGGAGGTGAGGGGGATGGGGGGAGACCAGTAGTGCAAAACTGCGTCATTTGACTATCCATCAATCAATGGATTGCTGGTGGTGAATGACATAAATGTGGAAATAGATTGATTGGACTGAGAGCAGAGGAAAGGAGATCAATGGACAAATGCCATAGTTCTGACAAGACATGATAAGGACTTGAAATACAGCAGTGGAAGTGAAATTGGAAAAGAAATTATACACAAGAGAAACTTTTGCACAAATGTATTAGCAGGTGTCCCATTGGCAAAGAAATGGATGGAATACTGTGCAACATTGACAGCGAAAAACTTCAGTTACAAGTGACAATATAGATACATCTTAGATACGAAATGTTGAAAGAAACAAGTCCCAGGATGTTTCATAAAAACATTACAAATTTTTATGAAATTTGTAAACAATTGAAACTAAATTACACTATTTAGGCATATATGTATGTGACAAGTAAATATGTTAAAAGGGCAGGGAAATAATAAATATAAATCGGAATACTGTTTTCTAGGTGAAGAGAGGCTGAGGGGAAAGATGGAGAGGAGAATTACATTATCAATGATGGTTCAGTTCTTCCACTGAAATTCACGGGAGTTTACTGTAATTTAGATGGGTAGATGGATAGCTACGTAGTCGTCTAAGAGGCCATGAAAACAATGGGCAGTGACCAAAGATTCTGCTTATTTCTGTTTCCTGTACTAAAGTCTACAAGACAGGAGGAGATATCTTTTAGAGATATTTTGGAGATGGGATTAATAGATTTCCAGGCATTTTTAAAAACTGATTTTAGATTAGCTCCTCCAAGGGATGAATCCTCACTGTGTGAAGCCCACATGCTTTCACCTCCCCGCGCTTTTTGTCCTTTGCCCTTGACTATCCTCACTTCTCCTCCAAAGGGAGGTCAGGGACTCAAGCAATGGGGATAGGGAGAGGCGTTCTATGGATGTGCAGCTTCCCTATTGGTGGCCATAAGGAGCGAGAACGAGGCTAAAGCTGAAGCGAGGAAAAGGGGGGCGAGGGGGCGGAGCTAAGAGGAAGGAGGAGTTAAAGAAGCCTGACGAATCTAGAAGCCAAGTGCACTTGTGAGCGCTTCGCTACGATGGCGGCGGCGCCCGGCACTGTCACCCCGCTAGCGCCGGAGTCTTCCCCTCAGAAGCTACCTTATCTGCTGCCGCCACTTCCTCCTACGTCGCCTGCGCGGCGGCAGTAACAGTGATTCTGCCTGCCTCCTCCGCCACCTTCACCCCCTGCCTGCTAGCTTGCCGGTGGCTTTGGCGGCTCCACTATGGCGGCGGCGGGGAGGGGGGACAGTAGTTTTAAAGTAGACACCCGCCCTTGGCTCAGAGAAGGTGAGTTCCCGTCCCGGGGTGCGGTGGCGGCCCCATCTACTTCGCTGCCTCTGTTCAGCCAGTGCAAGATCCTGTAGGGCGCGGTTTGCCACCACCCAACCCCCCACCTGCTGTGGCGCAGTAAGGCCAAGCTCAGCCCGCCCCGCCCCGCTGTATTAGCCCCTAGTGTGTAGACTGACTGAAGCAAAGAGGAGCTTCCCTGCCTACCCCTCAGCCAAGGATGGAGACCCCAGGCAGAGAAACTGTAGGTACTTAAAAGGCAGGAGTATGAATGGAGGGGAAACCAACATAATTTCTCCCAGCCAGACGCTTTAGTGTGCTGTATAAACCTAATGTGCAGTTTGCATAGAAGAGGGGGCAAGGTAGAAGTGCCAAGAACGTAGAGGGTCAGGGAAAGGAAAAGGAGATGAAAGACTCAAGGTCAAGAATATAAGAGGAAGAACCCCCCCCACACCACACACACACACACACACACACACACACACAGCCTTAAGTGAAATTCAAGGTCCTGCAGCATAGAAACTGGTGTAGAATATTTATAGAGATGGAGTTAGGAGTCTGGGTAGGTTGGCATGTATACTTGAGCTTTCAAGTGCAATCTGTTGGATTTTAGAATGATAAGGTCTAGTGGAGGGGGCTGTACTAGAGAAAGAGGCAGAGAGTTTGGTAAAAACACGAATTTCAGAAGTCACTTTGGAGAGTTTTGTTTGGCTCCTTGAAGTTGTGTCCTAAGTAAAGCAAGGTTTAGGGGCCCATTTTTAAATTTCTTTGGGTATCAATAAGTGCTGTTGTTGCTACCAACACATTTCAATGTAAGCGGTCTTTAATTCACCCAAAGTACTATATACTTGTAAAAAGCCCGTTAGACCATAAAACTTGCCATTGAAATGTGTTTTGAACCAATTTGGGAAATGTTCTTAGATGGTGGAGACAGATTCCACTGCAGAAGATCTCAGTAGAAAATTTTGCCATTGTAAATGTCATAAATTTTCCGGTATTTATTGTGTTACCTTGTCTTGCTAGCTTAACTCCAAAGTGAAAGATTGTAGATGCCAAAATATACAAAATATTTTAAGTTCCCCTTCCTCCAATAAGAACATTCCATTAAAATTATCCCATACACATAAGTTCCTCTTATGTAAATGATATTTCCCTGTGTGTTATTCTGTAATTTTTCACACCTTTCACTTTGGTGGAATGGCAAAGCAGTCAAAACAATCCCTTCACAATATTTGTGATAGGCACATTATATGAATAACACTTATTGAACATGGAAGTGAGAAATACACTGTAATATGATAATGATTGTTTATCAACTATTATTAAATGCAGCCTTTGAAAGATGAGTGTCTTCAGGCAGCCACGATCTCTGTCATTGTTCCAGGTTGAAACTTCTGGATTTTTAACTTTAATACCAAACTTCTTCATAACCAGCAGGTAGTCATGAGAGCAGTTTTGTAAGCATAAGGATCACTACTCAGTCTGGCTCTCATAACTTGTTCACAGTAAGGTTTACGACCACGATTTCACAGAAATAGAGATTTTTGCCTAGATCTGTAACTGGTTTAGTTGTAGTATCTTTGAAGATACGCTTTAAGAGATGATACAAGTTCATAAACAGCAGTAATACTTTATCTGTTCTATTTCTAGGTGGTAGAATGAAGAAAACCCTGGTTTAGGAGTCTGGCACAGTAAACATACCTTATGTTGCTCATTAACCCATTACATTTTGTGACCCTGAATGAGTTCTAAGCTTTCTAGACTTGGGTTTTGACATTTCTGAAGTAGGAAACTTGGATTAGCCAAACTCTGAGATTAATTTCTAATCTGAAAGTAAGAACTATGATTTGGGAGTTCTGGACTGATAATTCTTCTGGTGGCATTTCTATGCCTGTGTACTAGAACACTAATTCATAAATCATAAGAAACTTTGACTGATAGTTATCACTTGACATTCACTAGTAGTGAAATCTGTGTCGAACTGCTATTGAGACAATTTACTAGAACATGAAAAAAACCACATAAGTGTAATTGTTACCTGAAAATATTTTTCATTTTGTTTTAGCTAAATCTCCTTCATTAACTGTTCAATCTGAACTAAAACTCTCTTATCTTTTCACTTAACAATGGTAAATAATTGTGACATTATACCATTCCAAAATGCTGTTAAGCCTCAGTGTTTTTGTTTATGCATTTATAAAAGCCATAAGTTGTTTTCAGTTAAAGTGGATAAAGGACAAGAGAAAAGTGTTACTTGATTGTATTCCAATCTCTTTTTTCCATTTGTGTTTTTCTAAATCCTAGTTAGGTTATGGCTATAAAAGATGTCAAAGAATTGTCAGGATTCCAGTTATTACAAGTCCATTCCTGATAACATCATTAAAAGTGGCTTAAAAAAGCATTTACTGATCCATTTCAGCTGTAGCTCACATTTGAGGATCTCATCTGTCTTGGGGTTGGTAATGAGCAAAGGCCAGTGGATGTTAGAAATTGTCAAGTAGGGAATATTAGAAACTTTCAAAAATTACTAATAGAATATTGAGCAATAAACTTGAAAAGAAAACAAATGAAAGGAATGCCAAGTGAACACACATACGAAACCACACACACACACACACACACACACACACAATTTATGGGAGGGGAAATCATGAGGTTTTGTAGGATACCATGTTGCATTAAGTGAAGGTTTTCAATGTTTAATGACTCAAAAATGAATTTTTGCTCAGTAATGAGGCTACTGTGTACTCAGAGTAAAAACCAAACCAAAATTGAAAACCTCCTTGCTTACTTCTTCAAGAAAATTGTCTTTCCTTTTTTTTTAATTGTTGTGCTGGGTGGGGTACATTGTGGCATTTACAGATGTTCTTACAATACATCAAAGAGAAGAGAGAGAAAAAGAAGAAAAAACATCGTGACGTAGTTCATGTTTTAAGTTGGAAGGTCTTCTGGCCTTTTCCATTTAGTTATTAATCCATTTGCATAGCAATTACCTTCATAGGCTTTCCTTTGTTTCCATATATTTCAGTAAAATTTTGAGTCATGTGTCAGTTAAGTCCACCATAAAAGACCTAGTTAATAATCTTCCCTTCGTTTACTCACTGATCATTTATTGAACACCTAGATATGGGTGTGCCAGGTACTATGCTTAATGCTGAGAATTTACAGACAAATTAGATAATAAAAAGTACAATAGCAATGCTTAATAGTAAAATTTTTTAATTAGTAAGTGGAGGGAAATAGAGTTTTAAATATGACTCATCAGACTCCTAAACTATCAGCACTGTTCCATTGCTTATAAATCTGCATTCTGACTGTGGCATCTTATATACTATAGGCACACTGAAGCACATTATATTATAAATCTAATGGTGAAGAATAATTAATAAACTGTTAGGATTAAATTTTCATTTTCTGCATTTGGCTGGTTGTGGTTGTCTGGAGAGATTAAGGCCATTTATTAATTTCTGGCTTTCTGTCTGTGTTAGGTATTAATATGTGAAAACAGTCACTAAGCTTATTATGAAGGCAAGCCTATTATATTCATATCTGTTAGGATAGAATTTTGATGTTTTTCTTCTGAAACAGTTTTGCAGATTCACTCATTTATTAGCCTGTTGGATTCAATGACATATATTTAGTGGCTTTCTGATACAAAGTAGCCATCATAGGATCAAGAAAATTAATGCATTACATAGACATTAGCTTAAGGTTCTTCACAAGCGTGACTCCTGGCTCCAGAGGCCTATGATTGTAAAGGTTAAGGACTTGGTTTAAATAAAGGCAACATAAATTTTAAACATATGCCTAGCATTCCCAATTATTTTGTTAATTCTCTTTGTTTTGTAATAGTTGAGGTGCCATAGGAAACCATTATTTGTTTGATTGTGATAATCTGTGTGAAGTAGCTAAAACATGCCAAACTCATAAGTCACATAGCATTCTAACAACCTGAAAAATTAGGTAATAGATAGTACTATAGCTATAAGTATTAATCATGTCAACAGGTACATCTGTACAATCTGCATAAATAATGTTTCTGAAACCTCCTTAAATGGAGTGTGGCTCTAAGGAGAAAAGAGAGTTAAAATGCCTTGACAACCTGCCTGGAACTGAGGGGGGAAGGGGGGAGAAGGTGGGGGAGGGGGGCAGGGGGAGAAATGATCCAAACAATGTATGCACATGTGAATAAATGAATAATAAAATAAAAAAGAAAAGAAGGAGTGGTAATGAATAGTAATAGAAATTTTATTTAAATCAAGGCATCAAAAATAAATAAATAAATAAATAAATAAATAAAACACCTTGGCAAAGTTAACACAGTTCCTCCATCTCTTATATCTTAGTACTGTGCTCTGCTTATTTTTTCCTAAGATTATGATGGTATTACATGATCTAATAAAAATAATATTTAATCAAGAATGTTTGAGGATGTACTTTCTGTACAAGAATGAATATAGAATATTTAAACATACTGAAATCACCATAAGAAGGGGACTAAGGTAGGAAGGAGAAAAATAGAGGGGATGAACCAGTTTGGGTTATAATACGTAATACATGGAAATGTCACAATGAAACTCCCTCTGTATCTATCTTATACAAACAAAATGTCTTTTTTCAAAAATAGAACAGGAAGGTAAAACAGGCCTTGTCTGGGGGTTTGTACCAGTGGGAGAGGGAAGGATATAAGGAAAGGGTGTAAGAGGGTGAATATTGTGGAAATATTATGCACTTATGTATGAAAATGGAAACATGAGACCTGCTGAAACTGTTCCAGGAATGGGGGGGGGAAGGGAGAATAAAGAAGAATGATGGAAGGGGTGAATTAAACTATGATATATTTTAAGAACTTTTTTAATTGTCACAATGTGCCCCCAGTACGACAATAATAAAAAAGGAAAAAAATGATAACAAAAGATTATTTGAGGGAGGTTACCCCTAAAAATGTAATCATGGAGAATATAGCACATGTGCTGTTTGCATGAGTAAATAAATATTTT